CAGGTCCCAACGGTGGAGAGTTTCCAGACGTTGCAGTGCGCGGAGTGCCCGTTGGTGATGGTGTTGCCGATGTCGCCATCAAAGTTCACGCGCTGGCGGGGCATGACAGGCACGTGTGCCTTCACCCGCTGGCATCGTTTTCCAGCTATATTGATGACACGGCGATTGGCCTGCATCGCACCAATGCGCAGCGCGTCGCCCAGCTTGCCGTTCAGGCTGGGCGTGACTTTCAGCAGGTGGCCAAGAGGCTGGGGTCTCGTATCAATGACAAATTCGCCATCGTCGCTTCCAGTGCTGCGCTTGGGAGAGAAGTTGCACTGCAGTTGAATATTTCCGAGGATGCGGCAGTCAGGCGTGTTGTCTCTTACCTAGGCGTCGACTACTCTGCTGGTCGCGCTCGCCAGGCCCCAGGAGCTCGCGCCAAGCAGCGGGCTCGCCTGGCTCGGCACAAGAGGCGGATGCGCAAGATATCCAAGTACAAGAAGGCGATTCTTGTGAAGAAGGACCTTCGCCTTGGCAGGATTTACCGCACTGGTGCGCGCCCTGCTTGCACGTGCGGAGTTGAAGTCAACGGCCTGACTGATGCAGAGCTTGGTGATCGTCGCCGTGCTTACGGGCGCCAGGTCAAACCTTACCACGGGGGTACGTCAGCCACGGCCAAGTTGGCGCTGGACGGAGATCCCGCCATCCGACAGGCTATCGCGCCAGTCATTCAGTACAGTCGCATGATGTGGGAAGCTATTACCCGTCCTGAGCGTGCGCTTGTATCGCAGAAAGATCTCTTGCTTTGGTGGGATTCTGCTGTTACGTTCTTGGGCCGCCCTTTCAGCTGGGCTAAGTCACGCGGGCCACTGGAGCGAGCGGCTCTTTGTCTTGAGCGCGCCGGCTGGACGACGCACAGCGGTGCCCCCATGGCGTGATCATCTCGACCAAGAGGTTCGTGTGGACCAGCTCTCTCCAGCCGTAGTTGAGGACCTGCTCAGCGCGGCGATGCAGCGGATGCTTGAATGTCAACTAGCTGACAAGTTGCCTGCTGGAGTTCGTGTCACGTTCGACCTCATTCAGGGTGCGGTCCGCGCGCGCACGGCCAAGTCCACCAAGTATCAGAAGTTCCTCATTCGTACTTGCGCATGTGAAGCATTGTGGACACGACGGCGGGCACAAGAGCGCGGGTACGACACCAACGGCCTCTGCAGTTGCGGGCAGCCTGATACTGTCCACCACAGGCTCTACTCCTGCACGCGAGCGGACGCAGTCGCGGCTCGTTCCGATAGCGGGGCCAGCCCGACTTTCATCCAGGAGGGTCATGAAGCTGATGGGGATTTGCGCTACGTCACGGGGGCTTTCGCCTACGAGGAGCGCCTGCTGCCACCGCTTGATAGCGGTACGACTGCCCACCTACTTGATGCTGCTGGTCACGAGGCAGATTGTGAGCCCGAGACCCTCTGCAACATCATTGACCCCAGCGTCCCATCCGTGGAGATTGCAGTGGATGGTTCTTGCAGTGTGCCGCTTCTTGCAGCTGCTCGCCGCGCTGGCTGGGCCTTGGCGCTGCTGGACCCGAGCGGCAATCAGCCGCTCCGTGTGATGTGCGGTGCAGTCCCTGGCTCCCGCCGCAGCGTTCAGCCATGGCGGAGCACCTGGCGCTGGCATATGTCGGGCAAGTGGTGGATAGGCCAACGGACGTTTTCGCTGACTACATGGCTGCTGTGGTTGAGGCCACCAAGAGCCCCGAACAGCAGTTGCGGCCTGGTGCGCGATATGGTTGCGTCAAGCTTTTTGGTCAGCAGATGCTTGGGTTTCATCGCATTCGGTCTGCGTCGCACGTAAAGGCACATCGATCTACTGACCAGTATGCTGAGTTGTCTGATTCTGATAAGCGTCGCACCGACGCCAACGTTGTTGCCGACGTCTACGCCAAGCGCGCGGTCCAGCTGCATGAGACCGTGCCGCATGAGCTCGAGGAGCAGATGGAGACAGGGCTGCGCATTGCGAATGGTTTTGTTTCTTTGGCTGCCGCCGTGCTGCCGCTTCTCGACAGAGAGGAGCATCGGGCACGGCCGACGGTGGCACGGCACGCTGCACATGTTCAGCGCACTCGTTGGCACGACTGGCGTCGCACAGTGATAGGTGAGCAATGTAGTAAGTGTTTGTGTATAGCACATGACACGCATGATAAGCCCTTGTCAGGATGTAGGGGCATGCCTAAGTATCTTGACAGTTTTGTGCGTACCCCTCTCGGTCACACACTCGTTGCTGTGAACCAGGGGGGTAAGTCCCTTGCGTGCCCGGGCTGCTGCCGCCCAGTGTACGTGTGTACTAAGTGCGGTGCCTGGGCTCAGCAGTCCAGGAGGAATAAATTAAGACGACCTTGCGAGCCCCCCACCAGGAAGGGGCTTGAGGTCCTTGTGAATTTGCGTAACGGAGTTGGCCCCCACACGGGGCTCGCTCGCCAGGTTGACGCTGCCCTCCCAGCTCTGCAGTCCGTTTCTTGTGTTGTGAGGCGTCCTGAGCTTGAGACCACACGCGTTTCCAGAGCTCCTGTGTCCGAGGGCCCCCCGACCTACGAGTCCAGGATGGCTGCCCTCGCCGAGAGAATTCGTCTGAAAGAGCCAGCTGCCTCAGGTTAGTTTGATTTCAGGCCTGGCAAAGTCGCCGAAGGTTGTGCAATGTTTTGCACGCACCAGAGCCTAGAGCCGCTGGTGTGATCAGGTTGAGCCGCCATCCTCCTCGGAGTTTCAGTATTCAGTATCATCCTCCTCCTCCTCGTCCTCCTCACTCCTCGATCCTCACTCCTCACTCCTCCTCATCCTCCGCCTCATCAGCATCATCATCATCAGCAGCATCATCATCATCCTCTTCCTCCTCCACCGCGGCTGTGGGCATCATGGCCAGCATTCCCGTAATGTTCTCAGTGGCTGCCGAGAGTGTGATCTATCCCTGTATGGTTGTCCGACATGCGCTCGCCTGGGCAAACGGACGGGTCTGTGGGGAACATTGTCTCTGGGTTTTCGGGTGACGGTCCACGTGGTGGGGCGTGCCGCAGTGGCCAGGAGGGGCGCGCAGTGCTAACATTGCCTTTTGGGGCCGTAGGTGGAAATCCTTGTAGGCCACGATCCCTGTGAGAGGTGTGCCGAAGTAGACGGGAGGGCGGGATGCGAGCGTTGCCTCTGGGGCCGTCCGCGGAACTCTTTGCGGGCCACGATCCGTAGGAAAGTTTGTGCCGAAGTGAGCGGGGCGACGCTATGAAGCTGTGCCGCAGATGCAGGTGTTTGCGGGGCACGATATGCGTGAGGGGCGTGCCACTATGCGAACCTTGTCTCTGGGCACGCAGGTGGGGTTTCTTGTGGGGCGCGATCCCTGCCAGGAGTGCGCCGACGAGGGCGGGGTAATGCTAGCCAAGCCTCTTTAGGGCCGCAGGTGGAGCTGCCTGAGCGGCACGACCCATGCGACAATCTCCAATATCGAACATTGTTAGACTACAACTAGAGATTGCCAGAACCTGAGCGCGCGAAGTGCCCGCGCGTGGATGTATGTATGTATATATATACATGTATACATACATACATACATACATATATGCATGCATACGTGCATACATAAATACATGTGCATCGATGTATATATATATAGACATACATACATACATATATATAGAGAGCTATATAAATATGTGTGCAAACATGCATGCATACATACATACATGCATGCATACATACATACATGCATGCATGCATGCATGCATGCATATATGTATATGCATGTGCATATGCACATACCTAGACATACGTAAATCGGCGTATACACATATGTGCATGCATAAACGTTTACGTGTATGTAAATATGAATTTACACATTCATGTATGTGACTATCAGTCGACATGTCCTACGACAAGTCCTGCCACCATGCCTGGACTGTGGGTTACAAGCCTATTGTTTGTTCGTTGAAATCTCGTGGGAGGCCTCTCGGGGGCCTCTTGGAGACAGTTTTGAGGCTCTTGGGGGCCGTTTGGGGGCCTTTGAGGAGCGTCTTGGGGGCCTCTTGGGGCCTCCTGGGGGTCCCTTGGAGCGGAAGGCTCGATTGTCGGTTTGTGTTCCCCCTCTGGGGCCCTATTGGAGGCCTCTTGGACCGATTTGGTGTGGTCTTGGGAGCCTCTGGGGCCGTCGTGGAGCGCAGGAAAGCTGGGAAGGCGAGAGCGCCAACTCCTTCAAAGACGCAAGGAAAATCAATGATGGCTGCCTTTAGGGGGCCCTCTTGGAAGACCTCTTGCAGGTCTCTTGGGTCGCCTTGGAGGCCTCTTGCGCCGTCTTGAGGCCATCTTGGGCGTCTTCGAGCGATTGTTCGGCGACCCGAGGCCCTCTTGGACCGTCTTGGGGGCCTCCTGGACCGTCATGGAAGCTTTGGAGGGCCCCAGGAAGGCGCCATGGCCGCCCAGGGAGCCCCGGGGAGTATGGCCGGTGCGCAGAACGAGGTGCGGCCCGGAGCGGAGGGTAGTCCCCTAGAAGATTACAGAAATTCTGCCAGACAGCATTTGGCATTCTACCACGCCTCAACGTGCCAGGGGGCACGGTGGCGGATATACACACACACACACGTACACACATAGATACGTGTATCGTTACGTGCACGTGTGTGTGTTGTGTGAGTTGTGTGAGTTGAGTGAGTTGTGTATTGTGTGTTGTGTGTTATGTGTTGCGTGTTTCTGTGTATTTGCGTGTGTGTGTGTGTGTGTGAAAATCCGTGGGGCCACCTGTGCAAAGCAATGCCTTTACGGGGGCAAGCTTCACCAGGGAATGGGGGTGGTCAGCCAGCGCGGCTCCCCTTGTCTCAAAAGCGACGCTGTGCGCTAGGCTTCTGGGGTTGATCCTCCCACTCGGAATACGGCAAACAGCGTTGGTGGGGAGGAGCGCCAGCAGCAAGAGGAGCAGGAGGCCCCCCTTCTGACCGTCGCCTTCGAACCCCCCCCCCTCCCAGTCGTCTCTGGCGGCCCGGCCACCAGGCCCTCCGGTCTCAGCTTGCCGAGCAGCAGGAGATGCTTGCCAGGACGGGGCCCTTTGGAGAGGAAGCGGGAGGAGGGGGTAACAAGAGGAGAGGGGGAAGCAGGACGAGGAAGGGGAAAGAGGGAGGAGGGAGGAGGAGGAGGTGGGCGAGGTGGAACAGAAGGGGGATAGAGAGATGAGGAGGAGGATGGCGAGCATCTGAGGAAAAGGGAGAGGGGAAGCGTGGAGAAGGCATGGATGGAGAAGAGGAGGAAGGAGGGGTGTTAAAGAGAGGGTCAGAGAGTGAGGGGGGGGGACGAGGACGCTAAAGGACGGAAAGAGATAAGTAGCCGGAGGCTGAGGAGGAAGGATGACAAGACAGGGAGGTGAATGGAGGTGGGGCAGCAGAGGACATACTATGAGGAAGCATGGAGATTAGGAGGAGAGAGATAGTGTGAGAGAGAGATCTAGGGAGAGATCTAGAGAGAGAGAGAGAGTGCGCCCACAACAATCGTACACCAAAAAAGTAGAGGATGAGGAGTGCACGGAAGGGACGAGGAGACAGAGGAAGGGGAGGAGAGGGAGGGGGAAGAAGGATGCGAGAGTGGAGGGAACGTGGAAATGATTGGAGGAAATGAGAAGGAGCAGGAGGACGACGACGGCGACAATGACGAGGAGGACGAGGGAGGAAGAGCAAGAGGAGTGGGAGGAGGGGGAGGAAAAAGAGGAGCGGGAGCTAATCGGAACCCAAGGACGGTTCAGAGTATCCAAGAACTACCAATAGAACCCTCCTCACCCTTGTGCTCTCCTCCTCCTCCTCCGTCTGTCTCTTCCTCCTCGTCGTCTTCCTCCTGCTCCTCAAGATTTCTCTGTCTGGCCCCTCCCCCTTCCCTCCTCCCGCCCCTCCTCCTCCCCCACCCTTTGCTCTTCCTTCCCTCCCCGTGCCCGCCCGTGCAGGAGGGAGGCGGAGGGCGAGTCGCTGCGCGGGCGCCTGCGGAAGCTCGCCATGGCGGGGGGGGCCCGGGGTTGCCGCGAGACTCCGGGGGAGTGGGGCTCCGCAGTCTGCTCCCGGTGATCAGGGGAGGAAGAGGTACCCATACCTCTACCCTTCGCCCGTTTTTCCTTCTTTGGGGCCTCCTCGGAGGCCCTCGTCGCCACCACTGGATTCGCCTCGGAATTGTGGTCAGAACGCACCCCGGGAGAGGTCCAGGGAGTAGCGGTATCGGTATTTTGTTGGTCTCCCCAGATGATCCTCGGGGCGTGTGATAGCCGAACGGATTTTCCCCGTTCCGTTCCGCCGATAGGGAGCGCAGCTCGTGTTGGCGCTCGTTGCACAACCCGCGTCGCACTCAGGGGCTTCGGTGGACAAGCACACTCTGGCGCTGACACACGTTCTGAGGATCATCGGCAGACGATGCATCTTCACCATCTCTCTCTCTCTCTCTCTCCTGCTCCTCCCATTCCTCGCCCTCACATCCTTCATCCTTGTATACCCATCCTCACCATCCTCCTCGTCCATTGTCGTATTTGACCGAAGACGTGTCCGCAAGGGGCGGAGCTCATCGGCCCACGAGCTCACTTTGGTGGGGCGGCCTCCTCGCAGTTGTTTGTGTCAATGCCTGTGCGGAGCGGTCTCGCGGTTGTTGCCAATTCCCGAGTTGTTCAGTGCGCTCGCGCTCAGTGTACAGGCCTCCTGGAGGCAGGTGTGCAGAACATCTCCGAGTCCAGCCTCAATATCACCAGAGCTGGGCCATCGCTGTGGGGTGATCGACTGCACTGACGGCTCGTTCGTGCGCACGTGCCAGCGGTGCGGACGTGCTATTCGCTACGCGTTCAGCAAAGTACGCATTCCTCTCGCCAAGCCAGACAAGAGGCGGCACTTCGGCAAAGGATCCCATCCGAACAGGTCAGGACTTACAGTCGATCTGCCACGTCACGTGTTTCTCCTACCTGGGTGGAGTCGATGGCCGTAATCGTCAACAAAAACCCGCCCCGTGGCGAAGCCCAGAGGGAGCGGTCAGAGACCTCGACCCCCAAAGGGCCCTCCCCCAAATGGGGCAGCGCGCCCCTGTGTGCGGGCATGGGCGGGGCACGATGATTCGAAAGCTGGGCGAGGGCTGCCGAAACCGTGGCTGCTAAAACGGCCCTCCTGGAAGGAAAAAACAACTTTCCGGAATGAGGCGCGGCACGCGAAACCGTCAACAGGCTTCTTCCCGGAAGGACGAAGACAACTTTCCGGAGGTCGATTTTAGCAGCCACGGATTTAGCAGCCCTTGCCCAGCTTGCGGATGATGCGTGCCTAGCGGCAGCGTGACACTCCGCCCCTCGGAGTCTGCGCGCTGCCAGCGAACCGACTGATTGTTCCCCTGCCCAGCTCCCCCTCCCTCCCCTCCTGCTCGCGCGAAGAGAACTACGCACATGCACCGATCCTGGCAAGGCCCATCCTTGACCCAGGATCGGTGCATATGCCTTCCTGGCCAAGGTAGGAGGGCGTATGCACCGACCCTGTCCTGCTCCGGTCGTCATCCCCCTCCCACCGGGCATGTCCGTCCGCAGCCCGCTCCGTCCGTCTGCTCCACGCGCGGCCGCGCACTCTCTCAAGTCCGTCTGGCCTTCTCGCTCGCCCTCCCGCGCACTCCGACGCCCACAAGTAGAGTGAGGCTTGCGCACCTCAGGTGCAAAGCAGTGGCGATGAGCACAGACAACAGCTTGCAGAGTCACGTGTGTATATATATATATATAAAAGATATGTAGAGATCGAGAGAGAGAGAGAAAGAGAGAGAGAGAGAGAGAAAGAGAGACTTTGGTAAGGGCTCGGACGGCCGGGGCCCTGCCCGACCCCCCCCCCAGCCCCCCCAATAGAGGCGTCAGGACATGTTGTGGCATCCCAGGCGGCTCTCGAAAACGCTCCAAACGGTTTCGACAGAGTACAAAGATGATTCCCGTGCCTCCAAGACGACTCAAGGCAGCCGAACACGGCGGCCAGGAGGCTCCCAAGAGGGACCCACGGGCCCAGAAAGGGAGCCCCGAGAGGCTCCAAGATGGTCTTCGTGTTAATTTTGAGTGCTCGCCTTCTTCGCTGTCAGAGCGCCCGAGACTGCCCAAGATGCCCCAAATATCGTTCAAATACAACTCAAGCGGACCCCATGAGGGGCCGAAGATGATATAGCCTAAACAAAAAGACTCAAGACGTCCCAGATGGGCTCAAGATGATTACAAGGGGGCCTGAAGGAGCCAGCAAAATATTCAGGGGGCCGCCAGAGGATCCCAAGAGAGCTCCATTTAGCACAGGATCTCTTAAAGATGATCCCAACAATGCCGAGTAGGACTTCCAAAGGAGCCCATACTAGGGGTGTGGTTTCTGACGAGCCGTTGCGCTTTTGGATCGGGTGCGCGGCATGAGGAACAAAAAAACGTGCCTATGAATTTCGTATTTATTTGATTTCCCTCTGGGTTCGTCTGCGATTTTTGAGACGACAGCTCCAGTTATATGGTGAATTGGCCAGGGATTCCCCTGGAAGCCTGCCGGGAGCAATGCCGTTCGAGAGAGGCAGTTGCCAGCCAAGACGATGGAACAGTTCACGCTCCCGTGGGCGCCCGCGCCTGCAATGGGCTACATATATGCACGCCCGGGCTCTTGAGGCAGCAGGGGGCAACTCTGACCATCTGCGCGACCTTCTGACAGGCTCTCCAGCACAATGGCACAAAGCCGTTGACGATTATTGTATGTAATATCGTTCTCCAGTCTCCCTGTGTTCCCACCTCCGCGCTCCCTCTCCCCCTGCCCTTTGGCATGTTCACTGTGCGCTGTGCGAGTGCAGTGGTACCCGCCGCCCAGCACTGGTCTATTTTCAGTGGCTGTGACCCGGCGCACGTGCATTTGCATAGTTTTCTGCATATGTTTTGGCCTTCGTTTTCCATGCCAATGTGTGCCGATGCGCCGTCTAGGCGCGGTTTCTTCTGTTCTGTTCTGTTCTTCTGCGATTGCGCAGTTGTTCCCATGTGGTGATCGTGGTGGGTTGGTTGGTGTGCATGCCCATTCGCTGGTTAATATGACGCGGGCTTGGCATGTGCGAGAACCTGAGCGCGCGCAAAGCGCACGCGCGTGGTTGAAGTAAGCATGTGCAAATCCGCATGGAATTTACAAATATGCGATTGCAATTCGGGTTCTTGCTTCTCGGGGATCTTCTTCTAGGTACTTGGACCCGGTTGTTGGAGGTTCTGGCATGCTGGCGCCCGTGCGAGCGTCGTGGGATCTTTGTGCGAGAGAACGATTCGTTTGAATCCTAGACGCTTCGTGTAACCGCACCAGCCGGGCAATCTCCTGACGGCGCGCGGCTCCTCCGCTTGCGTTCGCGAACAAAAAGTAGCCCCACCAGCCCATCCAGAAACGATGCCCAGAGGAGTTGCCTCGACCAGGGAAGTGGGCAGCTCGAAGAGTGAAGGTACCCCAGTGGAGGCCTTTTGGAGCGTATTGGAGGCCTCTTGGCGGTCCTGGAGGCGAGTTTCTTGGGGCCTTTTGGGGGCCTTTTTCGGGAGCCTCGCGGAGGCCTCTGAGGCGCCTCCTGGGCGCCTCTGGGGGCCCTCTCGAAGCGCTCTTGGGAGCCCTGGGAGCGCTTTGGGGGCCATGTTGGAGGACATCGATCAAACAAGAGGAGAGCTTGAATTATCCTCCGCCCCCAAGATGCCAACATGGGGCCAATACCCAAGTAAAACCAATGATTTGGGCTTCCTCGCCGAGGCCGTTTTGGACGCTCCAGCGCGTCGTTCCCCCCCCCCGTCCAGGTCCACTGGTGGGGGCAGGGGGAGGGGTCAAGCTACCCACCCGCCCGCAACAAGCCGCCCAGCTCACTCCCACCCGCCCTCCCTACACATAAGTAGCACCCGAGCCCGAGCATGTCCAGCAGTCGTTTTTGGCTGGGCAGCTACTGGGAACCAAAGCCGACCCCAGGTGCGCGACGCTTGGGCGAGGTGCGCCACGCGTGCCAGGGGCGCCACGCGCGCCTAGTGCGCCAGATGCGCCACGTGCTCCGAGTGCGCCAGGTGTGCCGCACACTCCAGCCGCGCCAGGTGCACCGCGTCCGTGGCACGTGCAGAATGCGTCAGGTGCGCCTGCGCACGTGACAGCACACATCGGAAAACATGTCGGCCCCCGCCATCCTTGTCGAAAACCGATGCCCATCATTGTGCCTGCTGGACCTGCGCGAAGCAGACCACGCGCCACCAACCCCGCCGTCCCTGTCAAAAACACCTTGACAGTGATAGCGGGATGGCCGCGCACGATCCAAATTTAGCTGCGAGGTGCATGTTGCATTGTTTGTTGTCAGGGGTGGTAGCCCTGTGCACAGCACGGAATATGCTTACACCCCCGCCGCCGTCCTTGTCAAAAACAATACGAAGTGTTCGCGGGCCTCGCGAACATGGCTCAATAATTTGCCCCAAAGTGTACTTTGCATTGTTTTTTGAAAGGGATGGTGTGTGGGGGGGGGGGGGGGCGCATCGGGCTGGCCGCGCATGCTCCACATGTGGAGATTGAATGCGATTTGTCTTGTTTTAGGCAGGGATGGTGGGGGGGGCGGGTGGGCATGGTGTCGGTATGGTGCTTGGTTGGACCCCGGTCGCCTGGGGGAGGGGGTGTACATCAATAGGAAACAGCGATCAAGCTACCCACCCGCCCGCAACAAGCCGCCCAGCTCACTCCCACCCGCCATTCATACACAGAAGTAGCACCCGAGCCTGAGCATGTTCAGCAGTCCTTTTTGGATGGGCAGCTATCGGAAACCAAAGCCGACCCCAAGTGCGCGACGCTTGGGCGAGGTGCGCCACGCGTGCCAGGGACACCAGGCGCGCCAGGCACCCCTGGGCACCGAGCGTGCAGGCACGTTCGGTGCGCCAGATGCGCCACGTGCTCGGAGTGCGCCAGGTGCGCCGCACACTCCAGCCGCGCCAGGTGCGCCGCGTCCGGAGCACGCGCAGGGTGCGCCAAGTGCGGCCGCGCACGTGACAGCAC